CAGACCCCAGACAGGCAGATGCAATTAGCAAGAGGGTTTATTGAACGTTTGCGCAAACGGGCTCTCCGCCTCCGAAGAGGAAAAGAGCCCCGATTAGCAATTACAGGTGTCTTTTAAAAGGCAAAAGGAAAGAAACTTCCTAAAGACAAAAGAACCGCGGGAGTCGCATGGCATCCAGGTTGATTTTGGGGAGGGTCAACATGAACCTATTCAGGGACATTCCAATCAGGGTGTGTGGGGGGAAACGGTTTTCTTATTGTAAACAGAATGCTTTTAGTTGCTAAAATTTCAGGAAGAAGACTGGATGGGCTGCCTCTGGATTAGGGCTGGCCCTACTTACAAGGGGGGAGGTTTCTTCATTCCCTCCTCTTGTTTGGGCTGATTTTAACCTTAAAATCTTAGGGAACATTTATTTTTTCAGTTTGGAGGGCCCGACATTGCTGAGTTAATACCAGAGCTTGGGTAATAGACAATCTGTCTTGGATGAACTGGAGCAGCCGGTTGAGGACGCAGGGGCCGAAAGTTAGCAGCAGGAGCAGGATAACTAGAGGCCCAGAATGGTAGAGATTAGGGTGGTCAACCAGGGAGACTGATTAAACCAGCTTTTAAACCAGCCCTGCTGGGCCTCCCGGTCCCTTTGTCTTTTATTTAACCTTTCCCTGAGTTTGGCCATGGAGTCTCTGATGACTCCAGAATGGTCTGCATAGAAGCAGCATTCCTCTCCCAAGGCCGCACACAGTCCTCCCTCTTTCAGGAATAGTCAATCCAAGCCTCTCCTGTTGTGAAGTGCTACTTCTGAGAGTGAGGTGAGGGACTGTTCTAGCTTAGAAACGGACTGCGCTAGTGTCCGTAGATCCTCATCTACAGCTGTTTGGAGTTCTAGATAACGCCGTGAGCCCTGGATCAGAGCAGCTGCGCCAGTACCCACCCCAGCAGCGACCCCTAGTCCCAACATAACGGCTAAGGTTAGGGAGACAAGTTCGCGCCGAAAACGGGTGGGATGTTTATCATACTGATTTTCTAGAGTTTCAGCAGGGTGATAGAACACCCTGGGTAGGATCTGCACCATGACACAGAAGTCGTTTGAGCTATTTAGAACCTTAGCCGACACACAGGGGGTGAGGCCTTTGTTGCATGCCCACCAAGTTCCCGGCTGGGGCTCCAGGTAAGAATCAGTCCCCAAAATCGGGGTGGTAGTGTTACAGAGTCTCTGGTAGCCCCGGGGGGGTGTTCCTATGCAGGTTCCCTGTCCTGTAACTTCTGTAAGGGTGAATTGTGGTTGGGAGTCGGGTGTGCATCCCTGAGTGCTAGTGATGTTATTATAGGTCCCTGAAGTAGCAATTCCCTCATAATAAGGGGGGGGGGGAAGCAAGGCAGAGCCAGCAGGATTTAGTTACATCGGGGCTGGTTCGATTAAGGGCCAGGAATGCCCCTATGATAAGATTAAACAGTCGTTGTCCCGGCTCGGGTGACGACCCAGGGGTTGGAGTGACCGCGAAGTTAGTGGGTGCAGCACTCCCTGCGGCTAGGGCCGGGGCAGCTCTTTGTTCCCAGAGAACCGCGTTAGGCCCGATCGCCACGGGGTCTGGGGATTCTATTTTTAGTTTAATTCTGAATATAAAACCATCATCTGTTCTTTCTTTGTATAACCTGAGTCCCCACGTATATCCATTGGCCCAGTAAGTAGCCCTTTTTCTGGGCTCCGTGAAGGATATCCGTAGGGGATGACACCACCCTTGGCAGGGCCCATAATTAAGGGTTTTCCATTTGCTAAATGTCGGGTGAGTATAGTTAGCCTTGACAGTGATATAATCCCAGGAGGAGGAGGGCCTCCATTCTGTATCCCCAGTAGTTTCGCACCCCCAATTTTTACAATAGAAGTATTCCCCTCCTCCACAGGTGGGATTTAGCCTGCGATCTCTGTGGTGCCCGGGACAGACATAAAAGGGAAGAGTGCTTAGCATGGCCCTTTTATCCGGTGTGCCACATCCTCCCCATGGGTCTAATCCCAGTCGCCCTGGAGGGCTTTCTTGGTTAGGGGCTCTAGAGGTGTCAAAGTATCCCTCTAGGTCCCATGGGCTAGGGGCCCCTATGGTTAGCTTGCATAGGTCAGGATATAGGTTAGGCTACCAGGTTCCCACGGGGGCGGTCTTAGTTATAGACCAGACCTCGTCACCCCCAGACATTAGTACCTGCCAGGTTAACCTTTTGAGGGCATGAGGGTCACCTTTGGTGGAGGTGAAGAGCGCTAGGAGAGGTAGGAATATAACAACTGTCATTGAACAATTTTTGAAAGTCTTATCTTGAGCGGGTTTTGGGTGCGGTGGAGCTTCCATTGGAGCGGCTCGTCCGGTCCGTCCTGGCTGGCGTCAGCGGTGCTCGTTGATGGGGCGCGCTTGACGTGTGAGGCGTGGACCCAAGCAGCAATGCCGTCTACCTTTAAGGCGGTTGGGGTGGTCAGTAGTACAGTATATGGGCCCTTCCAGCGGGGCTCAAGCGTCCTGGACTGATGTCTCCTGACGTAGACGGAGTCCCCGATCTGGAACGGGTGTGGGCCGGTTGTGTCTCCGGGGCGGTAGACAGCCGCAAAGGGTTTCCAGATCTGGTGCTGGATAATCTGGAGCGCCTTTAGCCTGTCCTGTAAACCGGGAGTGTTAGCAAGAGGGTCAAGAGCAGAATCTAGTAAGTCCGTTACTGGTGGGGGACCTCCATAGAGAATCTCGTAAGGAGTTAGCCCATGGCGCGCGGGAGTGTTCCGGACTCGGAACAGAACCATAGGGAGGAGTTGGACCCAGTCTCTAGTGCCAGTCTCCAATGTCAATTTAGTTAGGGTCTCTTTAATTGTTCTATTCATTCTTTCTACCTGACCTGAGCTCTGGGGTCTGTATGCACAATGTAATTTCCAATTTATCCCCAGTAATCTGGCCACCAACTGACTTACCTGGGAGACGAAGGCGGGGCCGTTGTCCGACCCTATTACCTTGGGCAGTCCAAACCGGGGGAAAATTTCTTCCAGGATTTTCTTGACAACCACCTGGGCGGTTTCTCGCTTGGTGGGGAAAGCTTCTGTCCAGCCATTTCGTAGAAAGCTACTCCCATCGGTGTACCAGGTTGCTTCAGCATCTGGCAAAGGCTGGTCCGTCAAGTCCCCTCTGGTGCCATGGACTTCAGCTAGGATCTTTTACACGATCCTGTTCTGTCCTAGCCGCCAGGAGCAAATCATCCACGTACTGCAGAAGGACAAGGTCCGGATGGCCAACTCGGAAATCTGCCAAATCCTGATGCAAGCCTCATCGAACAAAGTAGGGGAGTTTTTGAATCCCTGTGGCAGCCTTGTCCAAGTGAGTTGTCCTGAGAATCCCGTCTCAGGATCTTTCCATTCAAAAGCAAAAATAGGCTGGCTTTGAGAGCTTAACCGCAGGCAGAAGAATGCATCTTTTAGATCTAACACCGTATACCAGACATGGCTTGGGGGTAAGGTGCTGAGCAAGTTGTAGGGATTCGGCACCGTGGGATGTATGTCCTCTGTCCTCCAGTTAACCTCTCGTAAATCTTGTACCGGCCGGTAATCTCCTGTGCCGGGTTTTTTTACGGGTAATAGAGGAGTATTCCAGGGCGACTGGCAAGGTATTAAAATGCCCAATTGTAATAGTCTCTGTATATGGGGCCGAATGCCTTATTTGGCCTCTTTGCTCATTGAATATTGCCGGATCGATATGGGGGTGGCCGAGGGTTTTAAGTTTATAATTATGGGCGGCTGGTTTACAGCTAGTCCCATTCCGGCCGTTTCCACCCAGGCCTGAGGGTAGTTAGTGAGCCATTCAGAATCTAGGGGCTGCACGGACGGTGGAGAGTCCTCGTGCAGCCGGTGTTCATCCTCTAGGCGCAAGGTCAGTACCTGGAGGGGCTGCCCTCCCGCGCCAGTAATAGTGGCCCCTTTTTGCTGAAAATGTATCTGGGCCCCTACTTTTGAAAGAAGGTCTCTGCCTAGGAGAGGGTAAGGGCCGTCTGGGACCAGTAAGAAGGAATGCGTTACTTGCCCAGTGCTCAGGTGGACCTTCCGTTCGGTTGTCCATCGATATAACTTGCCTCCAGTTGCCCCCTGAACCCAAGACGTTTTAGAGCTCAAGGGTCCTTTTGCCTCAGTTAAAACTGAATGTTGAGCTCCCGTATCGACCAGGAAGGTCACCGGCTGTCCCTCCACTTTAAGGGTTATCCGAGGCTCGGGGGGGGGTTCCTGGCCCTGACACCCCTAATCTTCATCTTCTAGGGACAAAACAGGAATGGGCTTCTTTTTAGGTCCCTGCGTTTGGCCCTTCCTTGGGCAATCTTTAACCCAATGTCCTTTTTCCTTGCAGTAGGCACACTGGTCTCGTTCAACCCGTGGTCCTCTTTTGTCTCCCAGGTCCCTACTCTGTCCTGACTTACTCTGCCCTGAGCCCTGTACTACGGTGGCCAGTATCCTAGTCAGCTCTTTATTAGTCTTTTATCTCTCTTATCCTCCCGTTCCTTTTGCTCTTTACGGATCCTTTCCTCCCTTTCCTCTAGGGTTTCTCGCTTGTTAAAAACCTTCTCTGCCTCTTTCACTAAGTCCTGTAAGGTGTACCCCTGAAGTCCCTCCAACCGTTGTAACTTATTACAAATATCCGAGGCCGACTGTCCAATGAAGGACATAATTACATCTGGTTGGCGGTCTTCAGCCAAGGGGTCAAAGGGAGTATACATGCGGTAGCCTTCTATTAACCTCTCCAGAAAACCTGCCGGCGTCTCCTCTTTTCCCTGCACTATAGCACGTACCTTTGCCAAATTGGTGGGGCGACGCCCTGCCCCTTTGAGACCCGCTAGGAGTACCTGGCGATAGAGACGGAGCCGCTCCCTACCAGCAACAGTGTCGTAGTCCCAGGTCGGGCGAACCAAGGGGAAAACATCCTCAATCTCATTAGGCAGCCGGGTCGCCTCCCATCCGCCCCCGGGACGTTTTTCCGAGCTTCGAGGTACACGCGCTGTGTCTCCTCCGTGGTGAGGAGAGTCTGCAGGAGCTGTTGGCGGTCATCCCGGGTCGGCTGGTGGGTCAACAGAATTGACTCAATCCGGTTAGCGCCTGGGGGTCTTGGGAGAAGGAGGGGTTATGAGTTTTCCAGTTGTAAAGGTCAGAGGCAGAGAACGGCCAATATTGCATCTGGCCGCCTACTGACCGGAGGGGAAATGCCTGGGAGGTCCAGACGTCTTCCGACTCTCCCCGCGCTCTCGCCGAAAGCGGAGGCGACTGGCGAGCGGGGGTGAAGCGAGGGGTTGCCCCTCTGCCCCCGTAGAGTCGGGGGACGGAGCTGAGGGAGCGGAGGGAGAGGTAGGGGCCTCCGAGCGGGGCGTTGGGGGTTGGGCATAAGGGGGAGGGGAGGAGCCCAAGAGAAGGAGACTGTCCTGGTCCCCTGGGAGCACAGGCGGCTCCTTAGGTTTTGATTCAGGAAATTTTAGGGGGCAAAGGGTGGATGGAGAGGAGGGACGGGGAATTGGGGGAGTGTGGTAGGGAGGGAGTGAGGGTCTCGGGCTCGGTCCCCCTTGAGAAGGGATAAAGCATTTTATCCAGGGGGGTGGATTCTTAGCGAGATCCTCCCATACTATGATGTACGGCACCTGATCGAGGTGTCCATTGGGTCCTGGCTGGAAGACCAGGGCCTTCACCTGCAAGATAATGTCAATATTAAAAGTTCCGTTCCTGGGCCACCCGACGTTGAAAGCCGGCCACTCTGAGGAGCAGACGGTGACCCATCTTCATCTTCTGACTTCGACCGAAAGATTGTGTGCCCGGCCGGCGACTTCTTTCCAGTGATCTAGAGTGAGGCTTAAAGGGGTGGTTACAGTCTGCCCCATGGGTGTAGAGAAGGGGTGAGCGGTGAGGAGGAGGACAGGAAAGGAAGAAAAACACGGAACGAACAGACGCACACGAACGACAGGACTGGCGCGGCAGATTCAGATGGGAGCGGTCGCGAACCACGACCCTCCCCGAAGAGGAGGGAGTGCCGGGGCTCCGTTCCTCTTCCAGACCACTCCGGAGTCCGACTCCGGAGGGGGACCAGGGGTCTCGGGCACGTCTGCCTCCCCCGCTGGTCCAAATACAGAATACAGAGTACAGCGTCCTGCAGGCACAATACAGACCCGGCACAAAACAGACCCGGCCAGTCAGACAAACGGACGAGACAGATAGGACATTTAGCGAGCTCGATCTTACCTCCTACCGGTCTTAGGATTGAGTCTGGGGCGTCTCAGATCCCGGACGAGCCCCCAAATGTTGGACCCTGGCTCACGGGTGCCAACGTGGCCCGGTGGACGCCCCAGAGACTCAGACCCCAGACAGGCAGATGCAATTAGCAAGAGGGTTTATTGAACGTTTGCGCAAACGGGCTCTCCGCCTCCGAGGAGGAAAAGAGCCCCGATTAGCAATTACAGGTGTCTTTTAAAAGGCAAAAGGAAAGAAACTTCCTAAAGACAAAAGAACCGCGGGAGTCGCATGGCATCCAGGTTGATTTTGGGGAGGGTCAACATGAACCTATTCAGGGACATTCCAATCAGGGTGTGGGGGGGGAAACGGTTTTCTTATTGTAAACAGAATGCTTTTAGTTGCTAAAATTTCAGGAAGAAGACTGGATGGGCTGCCTCTGGATTAGGGCTGGCCCTACTTACAAGGGGGGGGGGGAGGTTTCTTCAATGGTAGCTACTACAACCAAAGAGTAGCTTCATGTCAATACTGATGTGAAGTATTTTTATGTTTTTATTTAGATTGATGTGTTGTAAAGAATTTAACCTAGACCAAAGAGGCCTGGAAAATGTCCTATTGAATAAAAGTGTCTTTATTTGCCTGGGGGCTTTGGTGCACAAAGGTAGTCTAACAATGTGATTTAGAGTAGGGACTTTTGGTCACACAGTATTAGTTCAGCCCTCCAATGAGTCAGATTAGCCATGTGGACAGCCAGCCAGGTCTATGTGTTCAGTAAAACTCTGGATTCACTGCTCAGGTGAGCTTCCTTGGTTAGCAATTCAAACATTGTTGCCAGGGAAGTAAATGCGATCCAAGAGTTCAGGAGAGGACAAATAGAAGCTCTGTATTTTGAAATTTCCTGGACTCTGCTCTATGTGTCTCTTCCCTTGGTTGATTTTAACCTGTTTCTTTTTGCTATAATAAACTATAGCTGAGAGTATAACAGACTTCAGTGAGTTTTATGAGTCCTTCTAGTGAATCATCAAAATTCAGAGTGGCCTTGGGGACCCCCGAACATGCAACTGGTATAAGAAGTGAGGGTGATTTGTATAATGTTTCCTAACCTTGCAGCTTGCTTTGCAAATTCTCTATAAATCTAAAATTACTCCAAATAAAAAGTTTATTTGAAAACAAAACAAATAAAAAACCCCACACAAATAAACAACAAAAAAACAATCCTAGAACCTGCTCTGGCTAGATAAAGCAGAAAGGATAATGTCCTATATCACTTTAATATAGGATGTCAGGTGAAGGATTCCCAAGACTAAGGAACAAAGCCTCAAATCACCCTATGATATTTTACTAACTTGATTCTATGGCAGCCAGTGGTAGCTCATGACCAGGCCTGTTTCTGCCTCAGAAACTCAACTTTGCAAACAATAGAAAACCACCACTCTATTCCTGTAGCCTATACCAACAAAATAATAAATAAATAAAATCATTCATTCGTTCATTCAAAATTCAAAAATTTAAAAAATGGAAGCCCCATTTACAGCATCCCAATCAGATATGTTAGCTGCAAAGGAAGCTTGGAAATTAAGTTCTGACATCGCCCTTGGGGAGGGATGACTTCTTTTGTGAGAAAAGAGAAGATGTATAACCAAGTAAATGACACAATAAAAATACCAAAGAGAAAAAAAGAGACTGCAACTCTAACTTATTCCTTCATAGTTAGAAAGGTACTAAAAAAAAAAATAGTTATTAATCCCATGAAGAGGTAGCATCAGCAAATGTAAAAGTAATAAACACTATTACTAGTTTAGCATCTATTATGTGCCAGGCTCTGTATACACACCAATTCTAAACTTTCTAAGAGCCCTGTATGGCAAGTATTATTACCCTCATGTTATAAATGACATAACTGGAGTCAGAGTAGTTAAACACGACCAAGGTTACACAGCAGCAGAGCTGACTGACTCCTTACCCTCCTCATGCAGTTGCTTCCAGAATGCCACCAAAGCACCTAAAGCTGAGGAAACATTTCTACATGAATAATGTAGTAAAATATATTTAAAATTTAACTGCATTCAGTTTTCCTTGAAGAATGGTTTTCATTCTGAAATCCTAGTCAATGCTAGGCTTCCAAGCATTGTAATAGAAATGTCTGAGCCCAGAGAAATGCTAGGGGACAGGAGGTCAAAAAAGGTGTCCACTCAGAGATGGTCACAGAGTGGGGAATATGACAGGTGACTTTGGATATGGAAGGTCCAAAGGTTCTGTCTGGCTTCAGAAACATTGTCAAGGTTCATCTTTCTGAAGATAGGATGACTGGATAAGGCAATGAGTCTACAGCTTCACTTCTCATCTGGTGGAGCCTGCCAGAGAGCCTGATAATGATACACCATAAAAAGTACCGCACCTGTTTTTTAAACTTCCAACAAGTTTATCATTAGGATATTGCATCTTTTTACCTTGGGAACTGCCACTGAGTTTTCTGCCAGAGACTTGAAGGATCTACTTCTATGTTCTAGATGAACTATTACTTGGGGGAGGTAAGATTCCCAATAGAAAATTCATATATGGAAGAAAAGGAAGGTGGCAGGGAAATTTCTTTGTCTGACTTGCCACATTAAAATTTCTCTTTCTAATCATCCTTGAAGATTTCAATGATGTGGACTTGTTTTTGCATAATGTGTGAAGCTTAAATGGTTCAGTACCCAGGAACAATGCTTTCTTTAGTATCCAAATGAAAGCATACCAGAGTGATATTTAACATGCAAATTGCACCATGTGACTCCTCTGTTTAAATCCCTTCAATGGCTTTCCTTTAAAATAAAATTCAAACTCTTTACCATAATGGAAGAGAAAAAATGTGCTTGCCTTTGTTACTTCTTTTGACCTTAGTCTTATAAGCCTGAATGAATTTATCTACCCAACTCTGCAGCCATGTAGCTCCTTGCAGGAGATATAGTTCAATTTACTTAAATGATAATCATTAAGTATCTATCATGTGTTAAGTTTTTGGTAGATGATGGGGATTTAAATTTGTATAAAACATGGCCAGTCATGCAGTCTGGTGGAGGACACATATGTAAGTTAATAGAGAACATTGAGATATATGCAAGAAATGCATGCATGGTGGAGTGGTAGGGCCAAGTAGGAAAGGAGTGTTGGGAGGTAGACAGCCAAGGAGGACTGCACAGAAGATCAGATTAATCAGGCTCTGAAGAATGGAGTCAGGAAAGCAGAAAACAACAACAACAACAACAAAAGTGTAGGGAAAGGAACAATATGTTAAAAGGCCCAGGAGCATGAAATAACACAGGATGTTGTCATGTTGGGCCATAATACACATGAGCCACAGGACAGTGTGGGGGCTAGATTATTAGGGACTCGAATGTCACGCTAGCAGTTTGGTTGCCAGTCTTCAAGCCAATGATTTCCCATCATTTTTGAGTCTCCAGTAGAAATCTGAATAGAAAGTAACATGGTAACACACCAGGTCAAAATATACGAAAATGTTCAATACTGTGTGTATGTGTGCATATATATGTGTATACCACTACTACTAAGTGTGGTACCATAACTATTCAAAACTATAATTGTAAATTAACTTACATTTTAAAATGATGAATCTTCAGCCTATTTGTAGCCAATTGGTTGGCCCTTGTCCCCTCAGGTGATTTGGGAGTCACCATCAGACATTTCCTTCAAACCCCAACATCTTTTTGTTCTCGGAGGGATTTTTCTGGTGGGAAAAATATATTCTTCAGGTTGTATAAGGGGTAAGCCAAAAGTTCCTAGGGGAGCCAGAATGCTTCTCAAACAATGAAAGAAGAGTATTAGAAAATATTCCTGCTTCTTCAGCCCCCAGAGAGACAATTCTCGGGGTTTGTTTGGGTTTTTTTATATCTTCTTTCAGAAGCCCCTGGCAGACAGAATCCAGTTGCCCACAGCAATAACACCACAGTACCACACCCATTCATGGTTCTTTCCTTCTGCATCTCACCTTACCCCTCACCATGCTTCCTCCAATCACCCCCTAAATAAACCTTGTCTTGGAGTCTAGGATATTAATGTATTCTATATATTTCAGCAAAGTTAGGAGGAAAAAATTATAAGCCAGAAAACTAATTTTGAAAATTATGTTCTAGAAAACTAATTTTTTCCCTTTTTCATGCATTGTAAAATTATGGACGACTGTAAGAGTAAAGAATCCTAATTTGTAGATATTTGGACGGAAAACTATAGTAGAACAACCAGAGCATCACTCTGGTCATCCATCAGCCCCTGTGTGGTCTTTGGACAGAATTTTCTTCTGTTCTCATTCTGGAGATTTCTTCCACACTGCTGAGACAGGGGTACTGCAGCTCCAGGAAACACAAGACTGTTCTTTTGTCCTGGTTTGTTGTTAGTGTCAGAGCAAACTCTACCCCAATCTATGTAAAATGATATGACCCTCTCAGCTCCCATTCTCTCTGATCATCACATCCTATCAATTGGAGCAAAAAGAGATTTTATACATTGATTGAAGCTTTGCACTATGATCTGTGAAGGATTAGTGGTTACAGGTGTCTGATCACATTCTAGCTATAAGCAATGGGGGTGTCTTTGAATGGTTTTAAGCAAGGGAATGGCACCTGAATGTTATTTTACAACGATCACTCTGGAAGCCAGAGTGGAAAAAGGAAGGAAGGAGGGTAAGAATCAGGATAAAAAGCAAGGAGGCCGCATGTAATAAACCAGGTTAGAAATTATTAAGGCCTGAATTCAGGAAATGAAGCTGGAGACCAGGAGATAGACTAAAGCAAAATCATAGTACAGGATTCTCAGAGCAGTGGCAGCAGATACAGAGGCCTCCAGGTACTGTAGACATTTGGTTAGATGAAAGTTTTGTTTTGAATTTGACCGCTGAGTTCTACAAGAGAGAAAATAATGATTGTAATATACAATATACATGAGTCTACAACTCCTTCAAATGGTCTCTGGAGCTGGGCAATGAATGAGTTTTACAGAATCTGGGAACTGCTGAAAATACTGATGTAATTGTGTGCACTTTTATAGAGAGACAGTTCATAGTTCTACAAATATTTAATTGGCTTTGAGACCCAAAAGAGAAAACTTCAGCCTAAGAAAGGAAAAGAGGAAAACTTCATGCCATTCCCTCTGAGAGAAGCTCAGGAGTGAACTAGGAGTAAATGTTAAAAAGAGCTTGTTGAGAATAAAGACTGAGCCCTGAACAGGCAAGTTACTGTGAGGATTCTGGTCGGGGCAGAAAACTAGGCCTGGATATGAAGAAGAGAAAAGTATTTAGCGGTAACCGATGGGGAGGGGTCAAATGGAGATGCAGCATAAAGATTCCTCAAGTTTGTGTTGATGACTTCTGTCAGAGCTGATGGAAAAAATTAGCACAGGCCCCAGACTTTACAGAATGACTAATTATTTCCAAATGGGGA